TGTGTATTTTTTTAGTTTGTGTTTTCGGTGAAGTGTTTGTAATTATTTTTAGTGTGTGTTTTCGGTGTAGTGTGTGTAATTCTTTTAAATGTGTGTTATCGGTGTAGTGAGTGTATGTTTTTTAGTTTGAGTTTTTGGTATAGTGTGTGTAAAAACTTTTTCACGATCAAAATCACCAAAAAAATGTATAATATAGTATTCAGATTTTAATATAAATTGGTGCAACATCAAAAAACTATTTCACGATCAAATCACCAAAAACTGTATACAACAGTATACAGATTTTAGTTAAAATTGGTGGAACGTCCAAAAAATTATTTCACAATCAAAATCATTAAAAATTGTACACTATAGTACACAGATTTTGGATAAAATTGGAGCAATGTCCAAAAAATTATTTTACAATAAAAATCACCAAAAACTGTATGCTAATATAGTACACAAATTTTGGGTAAAATTAGTGGAACGTCCAAAAAACTTTTTCACGATCAAAATCACCAAAAACTGTATTCTGTAGTACACATTTTTTGGTAAAATTGATGGAACGTCCCAAAAAAATATTCGCGATCAAAATCACCCAAAATTGTATACTATAGTACACAGTTTTTGAGTAAAATTGGTGAAACGCCCAAAAAACTATTTCACGATCAAACTCACCAAAAAAATGTATACAATAGTACATAGGTTTTAGTTAAAATTACTGCAACATCCAAAAATTTATTTCTCAATCAAAATCACCAAAAACTGTATACTATATAGTACACAGTTTTTGAGTAAAATTGATGAAATGCCCAAAAAACTATTTCACGATCAAACTCACCAAAAAATGTATATAACAGTACATAGGTTTTAGTTAAAATTGGTGCAACGTCCAAAAAATTATTTCTCGATCAAAATCACCAAAAAAATGTATACTATAGTACAAAAATTTTGGATAAAATTGGTCAAACGTCCAAAAACTATTTCACGATCAAAATCACCAAAAACTGTATACTATAGTATACAGATTTTGGATAAAATTAGTGGAACTTCCAAAAAACTTTTTCACGAGGAGTTTTTGGTAATTTTGATCGTGAAAATTTTTTTTGGACGTTCCACCAATTGTACACAAAATCTGTGTAGCGTACAGTTTTAGGTGATTTTGATCGTGAAAAAAGTTTTTTTGGCGTTCCACCAATTTATCCAAAATATGTGTACTATAAGTATACAGTTTTTTGTGATCTTAAACGTGAAAAAACGTTTTGGACGTTCCACCAATTTTACCCAAAATTTGTGTACTATATAATATAAAGTTTTTTGGGATTTTGATCGTGAAATAGTTTTTTGGATGTTTCACCAATTTTATCCAAAATATGTGTACTACAGTATACAGTTTTTGGTGATTTTGATCGAGAAATAGTTTTTTGTACGTTGCACAAATTTTAACGAACATCTATGTATTATTGTATATATTTTTTGGTGATTTTGATCGTGAAATAGTTTTTTACCACACTAAAATCTGTGTACTATATAGTATTCAGATTTTGATCGTGAAATAGTATGTGTTTTCGCTCATGAACCGCATCAGATTTTGGTTATCTGACTTCGTTTCGACTCATAAAAATCAAATTTTGTTATTTTAGAACTGTTTCAAAAAATTCATATCAATTAATAGAACCATCATATGATGATGGTGATTCTGTCAGTTGGGTTGTTTCAAGGGAATTCAATGCAGTGATATAGCGAGAGGAGAGAGAATAAGAAGATTAGATTTCATGGTTGGAAAGGAGAGGCAGCGTGCATAAATAGTTGCTCTAATTCTATAACTTTCTTGGATGGATTGAAGTGTGGGCCTAGTAATGGGCCAGCATACATAGCCCATGGGTTGATGCTTACATATTCTAAATAGTGTGGGCCTGATAATGTAGAAGGTGACCAAATACAGATGTTTAAATTGTTGTGAACCCATTTTTGGATGCTGAAAAATACAGCCAATGTACTGAACAAATCGAATTATACGAAACAATATTTGGATGCTTTTGTAATGATTTAACCCATTTTTTGTCACACATTTAATGGCTATACGCGTAAAAGGTTTCGATTAATTATTGTCAATGAGTTGGCAATCTAGGAGTACTTTAATATTACTAAGAATGATATTAATTACTGAGAACTCTAAGTCTCAAACCATGCAATTAATACAACGTGCAAATGTGTGTGATTAGCAAAACTAATAACAACATCCAAGAAATTAATTAGCCCAAATTCATTTTCTTGAATGGTCAAAAGCATCAAGACCCGATAATCCAAGAAGCGGCAGCCTCGCTTAACCCGCAATTCATCAGTTCATCGGGAAGAAAAATAAATGAATAAATAATGGTTACTCAATTAGTTAATACAATGAGTACCATCAAAATTCCATTAATTTAGTGAAATATTAAATTATTTTTATGGAGTACCGAGAGAAATTATTATTTAAACAATCTTATTTATTCATCTAATCAATTATTACATAGTACATTATTAATTTATGATAATTGTTAAACAATAGCACAAGTGAAAGCATCACTCTCCAACATTGCAAATATCAACCTCATGAATATCATCATCTTAATTAATTTCTTGAAATGATTCCGTATAAATACACACAACATAAACTTATATATATATATATATCTCAACTTCCCACAACACATGAGTAAATTATACCACACTAATTCAATTTGTAAGAAAAAAATATATATAGTATTGAAATAACACAAATTAAACAAAACAGCAGCTGTAAATTATATCGTTTATTCAATTGTTGTTAAAGGAATCACACCTTCGCCTAATATCGCCGTTCTTTCCTGTCTTAATGCCGTAAACACTCAGCTTCTCCATTGCTCTAACGAATGCCTGAAAAAAGGCGTCCTGATTCGTCGAATACAGCTCGACGAATCCCCTTGTTCTTTGATCGGAGCTCAATGTGTGGTCCGACGACAAAAGCCCTAATCCTTTTCGAATGTTGTTGTAGTACATGTTGTCGAATTTATTCGGAGTCATTATATCGTTGAACACCGATAACGTTGGGTTTTTCGTGTAATCGGCACACGCGCTTCTCAACGATTTGGCGAATTCGGGATAGTATGCCGGGTCGGATTGTAGTGTCCTGCTGTAGTTGTATAAAATGGAGCTGAATTCCTTGCAGTGTGAGAATCCGATTGTGTGGGCCCCGGTTAAAGCCACCATTTCCTGAACGGAGAATCCTTTGGAATTGAAGATTCGAATCATCTGATCCATCGGCATTGTTGGCCGTGGGAGATTGCCTTCCACATCGGAGGCGCGTGAAATTAGGGCATCTTTTCTGCCCAATTTGACGGTGTAGTACGGGCCGCCCATCATCACGACGAGATTGCGGGTGGCGACGGCGAGGATGTCGGCGCAGGAAACTACGCCGGGGCAGGTGAGCTCGAGGTCGGTCTTCGCGCGGACGACGACGTCGAATCCGTCGCCGGGGAGGGAGAGGTTGATGTCGGCGTCGCGCTCGGCCTTGCTGAAGTGAGTGGAGGAGATGAGGACGGAGGCGTCGCAGCCGCTGACGAAGCAGTCGTGGAAGAAGAGGCGGAGGGCGGCGGCGGCGGTTGTTGGGGAGGAGATCTGCTTGTTGGTGGTGACGTCCTGCACGATCTGCTCGAATCTAGGGCAGGATTTGGTGTAGTAGGTGGTGGTGAGGAGCGGCGGCTGACGGCGCTGGGAGCTGTGTACGGTTGGGCTGAAGAAGAAGAATGCGGAAAGTAGTGCGAGTAGAAGCAGCGGCGGCGAAGCCATTAATAGTTTTCTGATTTCTCTCTCTTAATTGTGATAACCGAGAGTTAAAAACTTTCTCTCTCTAACTGGATTTAGGAAGAGACTGAAGAGAGAGAAAGAGGATTTTAGTAGTGTCCAGTGGATGTTTAGCTAGCCTAGTGTTAAAAGAAAAGATGGGGACACACACTCGCTGTATTAAAATTCCGTAGGCGTGTGTAGGAGACGCGCCACACTCTTATCCACCAATCACGGGTAGTGTGTGCTGGAAGTGGGGTCCACTGGCTTTTGTGAGCAGTGTGTACGTGGCGAGTCGGTGGCTTTCTATATTATTATGGCTGGATAAAAAAAGTTGATTTTCTTTTTTAAACATAATATAAATATTAGAAAAATCTGAAACTGAAAATAAATAAATAAATGGAGGTGAGTGAAACTCCAAGTGGGTTGACACTGTATTGGGATTCAGAAAAATGAGAATTTAGGGATGTGTGAGAAAGGTCAAAATCGTAATTAAGAGATGAGAAACAAAATGTTTAACCTTGTCTTCTGCTCTCATCACATGGTGTATCATGCTCTAATAAAGCTATGTTTTCCTAAACAAATACTCCTATATTATATTTAAATAAATAAAAAGTATCATGTAGCATTGCCCCCCAACCATTATTATTAATAGTTATTATTATTCCTTCAACTTTATAATTTATATATTAATTATTTAATATACTTTATCTTGTATTCTTGTACATACATATTTTTTTTGGATTTAAGAGTGGAGAATGCAGTAACTAACTGCAAATAAGAAATGGCTGTAAAACTGATCATAAACAAAATTTCACTCCACAATTAAAAAAAAATGGCGCCAATATTTGAAAATCAGAGTAACAAGTTGGAGTTTTTAAAAAAGGAATAATAATAAAAAATCACATATCTTTGTGGGAAAGGCGCTTAGAGGATCTAGTTTGGATGTCATTGGTGTAAATACTGGTGAGAGCAAAAAGCAATAGAACAAACACAACTTGTGCACTCATTATTCCGAAATGGCTTATGCTGTTTCCTATCTCCATCCAGCTTCCCGTATTTTGCACCTGCCAAACAAATACAACATTTAGTCGAACATATTACGATAAAAATGAGACGGGGCTAAAAAGTCGATAAATAAATCGAGAGACGGTAAGTACCAGGAAGAAGAAGTGAACTGTCATGACATCGGAACATATTATGACAAGAAAATAGCATCCCAGTAGTGGAACTCTGATCAATTTGGTAATTGCAGTAAACGTGCATCTGCATTTCGTTTTTCAAATCGATGGAGTTTTAGCCAAGGCGAAAAACTGAAAGCAAACTGAACTAATAGATATGAAGCAATAATAGATATACTTACATGACAAGCAAAAATGGTATCAGTAACTTGAAAATAAGAAGGGCTGCCATCAGAAATGGCTGCAATAAACACCAAATAATATGAAGTTAATACCAAACGACTGAGAAAACATATAGACTTGCAATGTTTGTGATGAATCGATAAATAAGAGATTATAATCTAGTTTCCACTCACACTGAAGACTGTGATGAATCGATAAACAGAAGATATCTCGAAACTTGCGATACTTGCAAAGTTGCCAGTTCCAAAGAATGCAATGTTGAAGAAGACCATCTGCAAACAGAACAGAATTTGAAATGTGTGATTCCGGGTTTATGAACCGGGACCATTTTAAAGTTCAGAGTGAAGTCAATTTGGAATTATCTATTTTTTTACTCACAAATGCTAGTGGAATTCGCATATCGGATAACTGTAAGTATCTATCGCCGGATGTCAAAACGAGGTTATCCTCCGTAGGCTTGATAGAAGTTGACGATTTGTTTGTCCTACTTATAGAGAGATGAACATTTTCGAAAAGCATCCATGCCATAAGTGCAAGAGCAAGAGCACCGTAGAATACAGCTTCATACCTGCACGTGTTTCACAATACAGGAATGCCAATACAAATCTCCTAATCCATAAAACTATATATTATTTCCCAAGTTATAGAGTTAGGTATGTGAAGTACCCTATGGACAGCAGGAGGAACGCAGGGGCAAAACCGAGATATATAGAAGTAAGTCTAGATAAGACAGCAGCTGGTGAAAAGAGCGGGAGAACCATAGATACGCCTAGAAAAGAAACAACAACAACAACAAAAATTGAGAAAAAGACGCCGAATGCAAATAATTAGAGTAAAGAGGCATTAGTACCAGCAATTGACCAATTTATCAGTTGGTGTAGCGCAAGCAATTCTTGCTTTTCTGCTCTATGAGATGTTGACACGGACACCATAATCGAGGAAAAGAACACCAGCAAGACCTATTATATTGAAGTAAAAGTTTCAAATTAAATATCTAGCAAAAATAATTACTTTAAGGAAAAATAGATGTATCACATGAATACCTGAAAGAGGAAAAGGACATTGGATTTTGAGTTCTTGATGTCATCAGTCAGACAAAACAAATATTTGCTCTCTCTGGCGTACACATCCAGATATCTTGCTGCTACTCCGATTATAACAATCATGAATCCACTAAAAATTCTACAAAAGAATATAGCAACGAGTTATAAAAGTCCTGTGTATTAGTCACTATATACAGAGGCATTACTTGAAAAATTAGCTTACTAATCGATATGTAACTGATATTTTTCAGAAATAAACTGTTATTCCCACTATGATCGCCAAAAATAATTCATTCAGGTCACGGCTTATTGGTGAAGGCACTTCAGAAAATTGATCAATTGATCGGTCTGTCTATTGGTTATTTGGGAAAAGGCAAAGAGCTTTATTTGAAATAAAACAGCCCAAAACTTACACTAGTTTAGTATTATCTGGAATTTCAGCAGGCATCAAAGTAAAGACGGACAAAAACCAACATGCTAGCCATACAAAGACTGGTATTCTTGAGTCCCATGGTATTGAGCGAAGAAGATAAACAGTAGCAGTAACTCCAACAAGCAAGAAACTCCAAGTATAGATCTTCCTATCCATGAAACTCTTCACCTGCATAAAGTAGAATAAGATAAGATAAATCGAGACAATATTTAAAGTGCTAAGAGTGTCCAAGATACTAGAGGGATTAATATCAGAAGTATGCTACATACCAGGATTTCGAGGATGACCACTGATATAATAAAACAGGCCAAAAATTTCACGAAGTAACTAATTTCTTTCCCGAGCATGTATCTCCACATTGCCTTTAAGAACTGATATTCACAGCAGATTTGGGCCCAAAGAAATATCGTCATTGCAAAATATGCATGATAGAGAGGAGGAGAATGTTCCACGAGCAGTATAATACACATCGATCCCATCAGGAGACATCCAGATAAGTATACCTGTAAAGGGAGAAAAGACTTTTAACTTAATGTACGGAAGCAGAAGAATCAAGAAGAGGTAGTTACTATCTCAATCAGTTTAACTACCTTCCAGGTGTTTGTCCTTGAATAAACTGACTGATCCTTTCTCAAAAAAGATTCAGGTAATGCAGTATAAGATTGCAACACATGGAGTATCAGATAGATCATCCATCCAAGATAACCGAGAGAAATTACTGTCATCAGCATAAACCAATCATAAGTTTGAAAATAATGAAGCCCTTCTAGTGCCAAGCTTCGAAGATTTTCAGATAGCCTTTTTGCAGCCACAGAGTCTCTAATGGATATTAGATGATCAATTTGATCCAATACCAAAGTATAATTGCCCAAGGGTTTAAAAGGCTTGAAATTTAATGAGCTTGACTGCTTTAAGTCTAATGAAATAGTCAAGAAAATTGTTGCAAAGTTGACACTTCAACAAAAACTGGCCATAACGTTCAACTCGTCCAACGAAATTTCATGACTTAAGTTGGAGATTAAATAAAAATGAATCTTATGTAAGAGCTTCTATTGAAGTGAAAAGGTTCCAAGCAAAAGTTAGGAAATAAAAACCAATATGGTGTCTCAGTATAAAGGATACGCGACTTCAGAAGAAATTGATTGAGAATTTGTTTTGTGTTAGCCAGCACAGCTTCAACTTCTTCTACCTGGTAGACACATTATTTCACCTCTTTAGTCCATTCAAAATCAGATGGAGTGGGAAGAAAAAGTGAAGACTTCCAAAATGAAAATAAAGAATATGCATATTGCATAAATGAGTTTTGATTGCAAAGACAAATCACATGGCTCAAATTTAAATGAACAGAAACTATCATCGCCAACTCACCTCACTTAAATGAACATATTCAAGTGGCAAATTTCCAACCGAGTTAACAGGGCCTGGCAAACCTAGAAGAGTTGACTGTCAAAAGTTTCAAAGAAAAACGTTAAGTAGATGCATTGTGAATGAGAGTCATGTGAAAACTGAAAATCCTACTAGTCAATAAATTGTACAACCATCAAAGGTGCAATATCAGCTTGATTCACATCCAGTCTCTCTAAGTCATCAAGACCCCAATCGGATGGTGTAGGTGAGTCATGCACATGATCATCAACAAAACGAACAGAATTGTGATGATGATGACGGTTTTCAGAAAAAATTGGTACAGGCTGTCGAACACCTGATCCCCAAGCTACAAGAGGAGTGTCAGTGTTTGTGGGATGCCCATCTCCATGGCTTCCTATCATGAAACGACACCTGTCAGCATGTTAACACCCCAAAATACCTAGTATTTAAAGAATTTTGAGCAAAGCATTCGTACGGCTTCTAAGCGAAAATTTATGATTGAATGTTGGCATGCTCAACCTTTATCACTCATTCCGTGATCGGCTGTAAAAACATAAGCTGTCAAATTGTCCTTGAAGTAATTCTGAACAAGATTATAAACTCTTTCAGCAATATGGTCAACAACCTTAACGTTATTCAGATATTCAGGCGAATAGGGCCGATGAGCATGACCGTTTGAATCGCATCCGAGCAAGTGCAGAAACACAACAAGATTATCTTGTTGAAGAAGGTGCTTCAATTTCGCATCTTCGTTAGACCTGTTCAAAAGACTCTGGAATTGGTCAAATGACCATTCATCCAAAAACGAAGCATCTGCATACATACAAGATTAAAAAAAAACATCACGAGAAATCATACGTGTACTTCCACATGAAAAAAGAATCGAGCTAAGCAAAAAAATAAACAAACCAGTTGCAAAATCTTCGTATTCATGTGGATAAGAGTTCCAAGTGCTGTGATGCAAGGCACCACAAAATATAGGAATGATATCTGGGCTGCCAAATGCAAATGTATGCCGACTCCTATTAAACACCGAATCAAACTCCACTGGATTCGCTTTCCACCCTAAATTAAAACAGTATCCAGTAACTAAAATAGGAAATGAACAAAATAATGATCTACATGCAAAGCTATTCACCTTTAGTAACAGCACTAGGATCTTCATAAAAACCAGCAATAATAGCTACATGTCCAGGTCTAGATTCAGTAGGAGGGCGAGCATGCGACACTCCCCAACGACCACGCTCTTTAATCACACTCCTAAAAAACGGCGCCCTGTAATTCCCGTCTGAATCGGGCTCAAAAAACTTGTCTGCTCTTAAACCATCCGCTGCAATCGAAAAAAAAAAACAATGAACTAGTTCAGTCATTTAATCAAACAGGTTACGTGCAATACAACTTTACAGTAAAAATAAAAAGAGCAATTGTTGGTTACCAACAAGGAGTACGAGGCGTTTAGCTGGGGCGGAGAAACGCGGTTGGACGGGTTCCATGCCGTGGACAATAGGGGTCTTGAAATAAATATCGAAAATGCTGAGCATGTAAACTGCGTGCAGTAATACTCCGAGAATCACTAGCCATTTTTCTCGTCTTTTTAGAAACTGAGTTCGAATTCTAAGAATGCTTGCCTCTGATGATGATCTGATGTTGTTTCTCGCCCCTAGTATACCGTCTCCTCCCCTCATTTTATTTCAAGATTGGATTTTTTTTTTTTTAATAGCGAAAATGGCTTCTGGATCTTGCTAATCAATTTCAATTTTCTTCACTTTGATGCGTTAATTTCCGGGTCATCGGGTCATCGGGTCCGGGTTCTGTTCAAAGCCCAGAACCGTTGAGCAATGCTGCGAAACTGTCTTAACCCTTAAAAATAAAAATAAAAATGGAAGAATAAAATTGCATATTTGATACTAGTATGTTTCATTTACCATTAATTTTAATTATAAGCAATGTTTTTAACTGTTTAAGAAAAGTGTTGTTGTTTGATTTTGGAACCAAATGAATTTATCAAGAATTTACTTGAGGTGGTCCAGTCGAAATAAATGTTCTACTTGCACACAAATCCCATTTGTCTGATGAAACTCTCTCGAATTTTGATATGAAACGCTCACATTAATACTTTGATTTTGACCGTCTATGTGAGGTGCTTAAACCTCTTCGCCTCACCTATCAACCATAATTATCTTTTGATCTCTCTCTCCTCTTTTGCCTTACCATTGCATTCATTTCACCTTGTCTACTTCCGGCGACATCTCAGCTGACCGTGATGTGGATGTGCCACTATTGTAATCCTGTTTAGATGACGTTTTACTTTTCTCATCTATATATTCCAAACTACCGAGAGAGATGAGAGAGAGAGAAGACACGCGCAAAATTGATTTTTGTTTGTTCTTTCAGTTCTCCATTTTTTTGTGAGTATGGAAAATGCGAGTAAGTTCATATTTGGTGAGAGTGAGATTGGGGCGAGGATGAGTCCGAATTAGTGAGTTTCAGTTAGATCTGATGTGATCGAGAGCTTGTGTGTGTGCTAATCATCCCCGAAATTTTACTTCAATAAATAATTATGTACTTAATATCCAAGTTAAGAAACAAACCTAAGGTTCTAGAGGTTTGGAGTTCAATAAACCCAATTTCTAAAAACTAATCCTAGATTTGAAGTGTTATTTCTTTAATTATATAAAAAATGCCATTTCTTTTTTCATATTTGAACAGGCTATTTTTTTTCTATTACTAATATCATTTTTTTTCTTTATTGTTTAATTTATGATTCCAACTCTCACTTTTAAGAAATGTTAATGAACTTAATCAAACCACACATACATACAAGAGGATCCAATCCAGCACATAAGAGCCAAGTACCTTAATTATATTTGTCACAAGAACATAACTTACAAATCCAATTTCTCGACACCGTCGCTACAACACATACACCGATAATTTATCTACATTTTATAATTTGTTTATGCAACAGCCAAGCAGAATCAAATATCCGCATCTGCTAGAATCAGATATTTTCGCCATCCACTTGAACGTCACCACCTGCAAAAGCATTGCACCAAGTGAGGATTTATTAAAAAAAATATGTACTATATTATATGAAAAGGGAAGAATATCAAGAATGGGATTACATTTTAGATGTACTCCTAGGTTTGCTTGGGCATCGGCTTCAGTGTTTTCATCCTGGCAACGACATAAGAAGAAGGGGCATGTCGATAAAATAGTATAGGAAAAAGAAACACAAATTAGATTTTTTACACATTCAAAATATATAAAAATTCAAAAGAAAAAGTACTATTTTCTACCTCCTAAGATGAATTAAATGTTTTTTTATCGAAAAGATTACACATTTTAACTTACTCTTGGAATATGGCATATCTCAAACGAGGAAAACTTCCCCATGAACTCTTTAGCCACCTTACACAAGTCCGTCATATTCTGGGTTTTAGTTCTCCATTTACCCTCAACCTGCCAACGAGATAAGTATTCAGTATATATAGCATTTAGTATATCAAGTTTTCGTTTTCTTTTTCTATTCTTCATTTGTGTCGGTATAAGGAGATACAGAGTAGATAAATGAACTGAAAGAATGCAGATATATAATACCTGCATGCAAACGAGTTTAGAGTCTCCTTTAACACATATATCTCTGAACCCTTTCTGAAGAGCATATCTTAACCCCAAAATGATACCTCGATATTCAGCAACGTTATTAGTCGCAATACCCACACCTTCCCGCAATCGATACACCTAGCCGAATTTAAAGTGAAAAATAAAACTGTCAGGTGGTGTAAGAAGTTATTTGCCAAATAACGAAATTACTCTTGGATAAAGAGGTAACGAGCATGAAGTAAAAGAAAAGAATCACACGAAATAAAGTTCAGAGCACCATTGTTCCTGCCCTCAACACAGCCCCTGCACCAGCTTGTCCAGGGTTGCCCTTTGAAGCACCATCAAACTCGACAGTACACGTACACTGTACATGAAATGGGAAGTCAAGCTGTGAAATATGCATGGAACCACCTTAAATTATATGTCCACGAATATATAAGCAAGTAAAAATAACAAGGACAAAGCCTGAAGTATGAACTTGAGACAGCATATGTTCGGTGGTGAATATACCAGAACCTAAGTATAAAGTGGTGAATTAATGGATGTCTAAAGAATTTTATTGTCCTGTTAGTTAGTCACCAAAATGATCGCAAAACTAAGAACTGAAAGCACGTATTTGATACACGAGATAAACATTAGTCATTAGTGGGCATATTGTGGAATCTTTTTAAATTGGCACAGCCATATTACACTACAAAATATTATTCACATGTGATAAGAAGCTTACGCAGTAAGACGAAATTGGAGAAACTTGGAGGAAATTATCTAACTTAGCAATCTTTAACTGAGGATTTACTGGAAAAGAAGCCGATCCAATAACATCCTGAGAAGAATAGAGAAAACCCAAGTTAAAATTAGACAACAATCGTACCCGACAAATGAAAAAGAAATAGAAGTGAAGAATCAGTAGACAATTTTATATTGCAGCAGACTAATAGTTGCATAATTACTTCAATGCCACATCCAACTCGGAGCAAGTATTCATAGATTACCTGTGGCCTCTTCTCTGAATGATTCTTGCTTGCTGATTTATCTTTAGACGAATTTGGTTCCTGCACAAAACAAACTTTGTCAATGAAGAATATATAATATTCTTCATGGAAAAAGATAAGATTTAAACATCGACAAATCATACCCGAAAAGGGCAAGTGATAAGTTGGCCGAAAAGATCATCTTGCACATCGCTGGCATCAATACAATAAATAGCGTTTGTCAGTCCGTGCGATGACAGATAGTCCTCGGCTTCTTTCGACAAGCCGTAACCTTTAAAGACACTTACAGAAGTATCTATAACCTACATCGAAAAATGTATACAGCAATAAATATTTTTTTACCATGCTCAAAAAAAATTGATGAGCTCAGGAAAGATAGATTATAGATACAGAATTAAAAATAAGAGAAAATTACAGAAGATCGAAGAACAGATTGAAGATCGTTTATGTTTTTATAAACTCCAACTGAATCCCCTTTTCGTACAACATAAAAAGCATCCTTTTCATCACCCATTTTAATTAATCCTTGCTTCTGAACTTCAACCTGAAACATTACAAGCGAATCCCATAATTCAGCTGCAACTACTGTAAAATGCTTAAGAAGAGACAAGTAATTGGAAACCCTAATTAACATTGACATTAAAATCAAACACCGGAAAATTAACTTCGTATAATTCAAACACTTCAGGTATTAAAATTGCGATAATCTAAAATGAGAAGAGGATGAACAGTGGAGAATTATGTACCTTTGATCCTCCGGAATCAGCACTCCAGCTGCGTGAAGAGTGAAACTGCGGAAAAATGATTTGATTTGACAGAAAAGGAAAGAAAGTGGTCGATATTTGTATGGGCCTCTTGGCGGGAATGTAGAAACAGATACGGGCTTCACAAAAAGCCCATCTTATATAATGACTGCAGCCCAATAATTTATTTTTCAACTCAATTTATTAAACTAAATTATTATATTTTTTTTCGAGAAGAAACTAAATTATTATTAGGGTAAATTACAACCACCCCTAAGGTATGATCAATTTACGAAAAAACCCCTCTTGTTTGGATAATTACATCTACCCCTTCAACTATGATTTTTTTCCTACACCTCCACCCTTATGGTGTCAAATTCAACATAATCATCTAGATTCTTTGGAATGTACTGTAGTTTGTACTCGTTTTGTGAAAAATACATTTTCTGATGCACCACAATATGATATATACAAGCCAAAAAACACATATTATGATCATCTTGCTTCAGAATGTAGAGTTTGAATGGGATAAAACGGGTACAAAAGTGATAATATTCCATATAATCTCGAAGATTCCACTAAATTTGATAATTGAGGGGTGATTGTAATTACCTAAACAAGAGAGGAGTTTCATAATTTGACCATACCTCAGGGGTGGTTGTAATTTACCCTTATTATTATTTTCTTGTAAAAGATTTAACGTAAAAGTCATGAATTGACAATCAACTATTATCTTGTTTGATTTCTAAACTATGATTAATATGTACAATAGGGCGAATTACAATCACCTACCTAAGGTAATGTTAAATTACAAAAAAACCCCTTATGATTGGGTAATTACAAGCACTTCCTCAATTATGTATTATTTTACACGTCCATCCGCACTTACGGTGTAAAATTTATATATTGAATGAAGGTTTTTTTCGAAAGCAAATATATAATTGAGGAGGTAGTTGTAATTACACTAACAGAAGGAGTTTTCTCGTAATTCGACTTCACCTTAGGGATGGCCGTAATTTGCCCTAATTATTATAGTCAACAATTGGACTATCATAGGTTCAAAGTATGTACAATTCTCCATAATTGTAAATCATCCGAATATTTATTAAACTAACCAAATATCAAATAAAATTCTGATTTAAAAAAAAAACAATATATCAAATAAAATAAACCTATAACAATAGTATTTACTAAGACTTGAAAGTGGTCATTGTTGAATGCATTTCGACTATAAAAAGGAACTCGCATAATGTACATTGATTAAATATCGTTTTTGTGCGACAAGATCGGTTAAGAAATATATTGTAGGAGGAGACTGAATAAACACTGCTCACAATGCTTAAGCAACGAAAATCGAATTCGTACGCTCTTTCTACTCAATCAAGTATTGCAGTTACATGCATTTAGTCGACGAACGATAATCGTTAACAATACCCGAGTTCATGGCAAACATGAAATGATGAAAAAGTAATATAAAACCAGCTTTATTCAATACCAAATTAAAAAGAAAAAATAAAACTTATTTACATTCAGCAGTACTAGTATATAAATAATCTGAAAGAGTGTTTATACCTTGTAATAATTATACAATTAAAAGAATCAAATCTACTTTGCTAAACCCTCACTCTGTGATGAAAACCCGGTTCATAACAGAACCGGACAAATCAGTTTCTTCAAACTGTTATGTATGTAGTAGTAATAACAATCTTCAAAATCACATATAAATCGAATTTCAAGAAAATATATATATCACCACCACCACTAAATTATAATAAATAAAAAATTAAAAAAAAAAAATCAGCTGACTTGCTCCCCAATCAAATCCAATCCCACCACCAAAAAAGACAACCCCTGAAACAGCAAGTAATAGAAATGAATCCCCTGCGCCGACAACAAACTCCTCGCCGCCGCCGTCAGCAGCAGAAACGCCAGCGCTAGCTCACTCCTGTAAAGCCTGTTCTTCTTCTTCTTAGCCTTCATCGCCGGCGGCCCAACCACCGCCGCCGCCACCTTAACCTCATTCTGCTCATTGATCTTGCCGAGCATTTCCAGGCCGGATTCCGACAACCTCCTCTGAATCTTCTCTTCGTTGGCAGTCTTCGATTCTCTCTCGGCCAGGCTCACTAAATCCGATTCGGACGATCTTCCGGTTTTCTTCGTCACCACCCACTCGTAAGAACTCCCCAGCTGGAACAGCCCGGAAATCATGGCGTTGAACTTTGTCACAGACATGGTGTTTTCGAACAGCAGATACGGCATTAGAAACGGGAACGATTTCGGCGACGGGAGGATATTCACTATCGACATCACGATCGGCACGTAGCAGATAACCCATGCCGGTAATTCGGCTTCCGGTATGAACATCGTCAATGGCAGAATAATGCAGAACAGTGTGAACGAGTAAAATGGAAGTATGAGTTTCCTCAGAAGAAAGAACAGAAATATCAAATTCGCCTTCTTCCACGCTGATATCTGCATCAATTTATTCAACAAGTCAGAACACTTAGTGAAACTAACACTTAATGAAATTATATAGTTTTCAAGGGTTTGTAATGAAATTATGCACTTTTGAAGGGCTTATATAGAAATTGTATAGTTTTGAAGGGCTAATAGTGAAATTATATAGTTTTAAAGGGCTAATAGTGAATTATATACTTTTGAAGGGTTAATACTGAAATTACATAGTTTTAGTAGGGTTAATTGCATTTAGCACCACCTATTTAGTCTAATTGTTAAAAAAACCCACATATTATAAATATTAGCAAAACAGCCCCTATGATTCAATTTTATTAGCAAATTACCCCTAAAAACGCATCATTTAGGGGATCGTGTGCTAAAAAAATTGCATCGTAGAAGGGTTTTTGCTAATATTTCTAGCAATTCGATATACACAATGCTAATAGCAACAAACTCCAATTTTGAATGAGATTTAGTTTTTAGTACAAGAATATATATGCGAATCTAACAATATATATATACCTTGGAAGTTACGATTGCAGGGAGGCAAAGCCGGAATAGTTGCATTGGACCGGAATGCCAACGGTGTTGTTGTTTCTTATACGCTTCGTAAGATTCGGGCAATTCGCAGAGAACCTTAACATTGTTAAGGTAAATGAATTTCCACCCGTTCAAGTGGGCTCGGACAGCTATATCCATATCCTCGACGGTTGTCCTCTCGAGCCAGCCTCCGGAATCTTCCAAGGCCTTGATCCTCCACACGCCAGCTGTCCCGTTGAAACCGAAGAAGTTTAGGAAAAGCCCGTTCACTTGCTGCTCCACTTCGAAGTGGAAGCACAAATTGATGTTTTGAAGTCTTGTCAGTAAGTTTTCGTCCTTGTTCACAAACGACCATCGAGCCTGGACCAATCCTAACTCCGGATTTCCCTGGAAAAATATAAGACATGCTTTATTAAAAAAAAAATTTAAGGGAAAAAGAAAGATTATTATTTTGGAGAAATTGCAGATTGCCCCCTAAAAGGTTTGGATCAAAGTCAACTTCGTTATGAAAAGACAATATTACCCTTCGATTCGCATGTGCACCGCTCAACTACTAATAAAGTTCAAGTAAAAATGTACAACTTTTCGATGTTCTCGGGGACAAGCGTACAATATCCATATAGTTCAGGAGGCAAAATGTTTTTTTTTTTACCATAATTATTAGTTAATACCTTGAAATGGGGAATTGTAAGTTTGAGGAAATCGGGGTTGGGTGTGAAATCGGCGTCGAGAATAGCGACGAACTCGTAGTCTTTGACGTAGTCGCAAGACATGGCTGATTTAAGGTTGCCGGCTTTGTAACCGGTTCGGATGAACCGGTGCCTGTAAATAATGTTGACCCCTTTCTCTTTCCATGACGTCACTTCATCCCTGATCAGATGCTGTAATAACTCATCATCTGAATCGTCCAACACTTGTATTAGAAACCGATCTTTCGGCCAATCTAACTCACACGCCGCCGCTATCGATTGCTCATACACCTGCAAATCCATGAAATTCAGACAAGAAAAAAAAAAAACAAAGACAGCTTTTTTTATTCTTTTCTAAAAATATTATTACCTCTTTCTCGTTGCACATGGGAATCTGAACAAGAACCATGGGGAAAGAAGATCCATCTTCAACATCATAATCTTCATCCTCTGCAATGGGTTTCAATCTCTTGAACTTAATCCAGAAGCATCCCAAACACTGGACGAATCTATCCAATGATTGGATCATGAAGAGTAGAATACAGAATTTAGAAAGAGAAACAATGACAGGGGCAATATAGTCAACTCTGAAGTTGAGCCAAGCCACGTAGCACCACTGCACAAGATTCTGAACCTCCACAGTTGGATTGATCAATTCCCACTCGTTGAAATAAGCGAAAACTTCGACCAACAAAGCAACGATCGAAACTGCGAGAAACGCTTTTATGAATATGTAGAGGCGCCCCTTGTACCTCGGGTCCTCCTCGCTCGGATCCGACGTGGCAATGCGCTTCTTCACCGACCCGAAAACTGTCGGCAGGTTGTTCGCCAGCCACGGAACGAATGCGAGGATTCTGTGGGCTTTTAGCAGTAGCAGCCAAGTGAACTGCTTCGGGCTCGATCCCTTTTGCTTCTCTTCGAATCTATTCGAATCTTTCATTTCTATTAGTGATATATTCTCTGGTTTCTCGAGTGTCACCACTACTGTGTTTGGCGCCATTGATGAACACTTGTTAAAACGACGGCGTTTTGAGAAATTGGTTCTGAAACCCCAGAAATTTAAATTTTGGAAAGATGGGGTTTTTTTTTTTTTGTTTGATGAAGTGTCAGGCCATCATTTTCTTGGTTGTTGAAACGGAAATGGTGGTACTATATATGTTATGACATAATAATTTGTCTATATATATATATAGTTTTGAGTTAAATCTGGATCTAAAACAGAAATAAAAAGAATGGCACAGACTCCAGAGAATTCAGTTGGAACTGGGTTTTAATCAATTTATCTCCCAAGTCAACAAGAGAGAGAGAGAGAGAGAGAGAGGGGAAAGTACTGTCAGTGGTGAGGCAAATGGAAGGTTCAGGGTTTAATTTAAATTTAAAATAATAATATTTGGGCAAAGGTGAATCCTATGTAAATTAAATATTAAATTAATTAATTTGGGGGGTTTAATCAAATCTTTAGATTTAATATTTAAGTCCCATGGTCAAATTAGTGTTTGTGTGTTTTTCTTGATTTCCACTTTTTAATTTATTTATGATGATTTTTTCATGTGAAAAGCTAGCTCACAAGATTCACCACACGGAGTGTCGGTGTGGGATTAATAGGTAATTAGTGACAACTAATTACAGCCAAATTAAAGATATTAATTAAACCCTCCCCCCACCTTGTTGTTCCTGTTCAGAAGCTTCGTGTCTTGTCTGGTGACCTGTATTCCGTGTAATAAAATATTATTTAATTATTATTTGTTTTTTTTAAATTATTTATATATTATTTGTTTTTGTCTAAAGGACGGTTGTTTTATGATTGGTAAAAGGGACCTCTCTCTCCATTCCCCACCTCCATTTTCTTGATTATCAAATCATAATCTGAGTTTGTTTTTTTCCAACTTAATTTTTTTTTTTGTCGTAATTAGATTTTTTTTTTAAATAGAAGAAGTGTTAAAAATACGATAATTATGGATTATGTGATTTAATTTAATCACGATCATTATATATAGATCCAAAAATGTGCCGACTCGATATTTGGAATCTTGAAAGTTGAAAGTAGAAAAATCGTAATCTTACAATTGATTTGACTTGTTAATAATCAAATTTGACTTGTTAATAATCAAATTTGAAATCCGATTTTATAATGTATTGTTATATACTAAACGATCTAATTAAGGATTTTAGACCGATTTGGTGTCCCACGTGGCAAGTTTGTAGTTAATCAGATTTGAATCAAAAGTATAATAACAATTAACAACAAATCATTAGAGTTTTTTAAGCAAATCGAGTTTTAGTTATTTAGTTACGAAGGGTAAGCAGTGGCTTTCAAGAGTTGTCATAATTCAATATGTAATAAAAGTGAAATTATGATCAACTCGAGTTCCTAATTAAAATGGAAAAGTATAAAATCCGAAATCCGAAATCCAAAATCCAATCAATATTTTCTCATGGGGCCAATTTTTGGGCATTGATTATTGGACAGCATTTTAAATAATTACTCCATATATGGTTACTTCTAATACTATTACTACCCAATATTTATTTGCCTTACTCGTTCGATCAGACTAAAGTTTTGTAGATGGTACACTCGATAAAAATATATCGTACGATCATGCACCGTTGATCTATACATAATAACACATACATTCATCGCGAATCACGCACAAAGGAACCGTAGCAAAATAGAGAATTGTCAAATGTAATAATAGTCATAATATAAGAAGAATACAAAAATATGTAATATAATGAGCTGGAATTAAGCAGCCATGATTATGAGTTCGGAGTTTCGATTGTAAGATCATCAATAATTTTTTTATTCTTCTTTCTACATGTGGCACGGTTGAGTTGATGCCAAATTGCAAAATACAGCTGCAACCTTTGTTTTTTTATTTTATTTTTATTTTATTTTTATTTTATATATTACACTACCGAAAAACAAGAAATAGAAAAAAAGATATATTATTAGATATTACTATATCTATATGAATTAATTTGGATGATATTAAAATTACATACAAGTGTGGGGGCAAAAAATACATTTGTAGACTTGAAAGGGTGTCTTTTGAGGAATGCCTAATGGCTCGTTCGTCTAATCTTACGTTTTGCCTAATTGCATCTCGTATACAAATTAAAAACACCTAATGGCTCGTTCGTCTAAGTTTACTTTAAACAACTAATAAACTGTTTTAAGAGTTGATACGTCTTAAATTTAGAATTAATTTTTAAAGTGTTTGGATAATAATCATATAAGTGGAGTAGAAGTACTTAAAAAAAAAATCTTTCGCAACTTGATTTTTTGAAATTTTAATATTTTTAAAAAAATTATAAAAAACGTTAAAAGAACTTATAAGCTCTGTTTAAGAGCTTGTAAGCCATAACCAAACTAACACCCTCCAAGTTTGACCCTTAATTATTTAATTAAATTACTTGTTCAATTTTGGCACCGTCCGCGCCATGATTGAGTCCACACAGAATATTCTTTGCATCACAAATTTATGTACTTAGATCAGAAAAAAACGTGTCGCAAATATCAGATTTAGATCCACTAATCTCACCACCAAATGGTCAACTATTGTTACGTGAATCAATTAAAATACAATTATGTATATTTTCTATTTAGACCGAATATAAATAATTATGCAACTTTGAATTTGACAATCAGTCCTCACAGTACAATAAATTCTTAGTTTTACCTTTAAAGTCAACAGAATCAGTTCCCACTTAGCTTAAAATAAAATTAGCAATCCGCTGTAAAGTTAATTAAACACGGTTTACATAGATACTTAAGACTAATTTCTTTTACAAATTAGTATTATTATTTTATGTGGCATCATTGACATCTTAATAGTAAATAAAACAACTAAATCTCAATAAAATTATGTACCAGTAATTTATTTTGGGTGACGCTACGTGTACATGCAACCGGCCCCATACTTGTAATTATATTTAGTGCACCTTAATAAGTCCAAACAATAGTTTTTTTATTTAAACTAAAAAATAATATATATTTGTTTATTTCTATTTTTAAGTAAGGTAAACAGTCATCGTCACTTATTAGTTTAGTATTACTACTAATTAAGTATTAACTGATAATGACACCCTAAACTATTTCTTTGCTGCCGCTCCACTTTTATTAATACCAATTTATACAAGAAATAAAGAAAACCAAAATTTGGAAAATATTAATAAATAAATAAATAAATAAATAGATAATTAATTAAGTAATTAATTAATTACTACAAATTAAAAAGCCTGAAAAACTGAACTATTACAGACTTCTGAAGGTCCAAATGAATTTAATATATTCTAACACTAGAGAAACCATTTACAATTTAAACTTATAAATAATAGATAAAAATAGATATATATTTTCTAACTAATAAAAATAATTTTCTAAAAATTAAAAACAGAAGCACAAAGGCTGGCGTAGTTATGGCGGCTAGATGGTGGTGCACCCCATCCACCAGCAGGACCCTCACCCATCCGATCCCACCACCTAATTACATATAAACCATATTTATTTATTTATTTATTTTATTTTTGAATTTTAATTACCAGCAAATACATGTGAATGATAGTTCACTTTCATAAACTCCCATGTGATGAGCAGCTACCCTGTTCTTGTCTGTATTACCATTGATTTATTTTTATTTTTTAAATAATATTTAATTCATAAAACCTATATTAATTACATGAAAACTTTATTTGTAATTAATTGTTATTTTGGGGTAATTATGAGTAATATGGCTACAGAAAAGTACATAAGCAATTAATAACCACGTTGCTTTGGTTGATTAGTGGGAGCAGCACCTCATTTCAGCATCTTCTCCACATGCTACTGCTTTTATTCTTTTTTTTTTTTATTCAATTTATTTCACTTTCTTTTGATTATATTCCATGATACTAGTAAAATACCTCATTCATTCATTATTTCTCAATTAATTAAGAGTGATAAAGTATAAAATTGAGAAAAAAAAAAGACTAATTAATTACTGCATTACTGAAAATTCAGAGTGACATATAATTTGGAAAAATAAGAAAATTCTTTAACACGAGAAGTGTTCGTCAATGAAGCCAAGGGGATGGAGTAATATTCACACAATTAGTGTCATTTGTTACACCTTATAGTATTTTGTTTTGTCGATCAACGTGAATATTCGAACTAGTCACACATGACACAACGTATAATCGCGTGAAGAATGAATACATACTCTCACTCTAACTTATTGTTATATCAATATAGCCAAAATATGATATAAATACTTCTTCCATTTCAAATTAACTATCGTTTAATATCTTGACATATGTGTTAAAATAAACAAAAAAATACAAATGTGTTTTTTGAGGGGAAATTACATAACTATTAAAATATGAGTGTATATGCCTCTCTCCACTAAGAAGTACTATTACAGAGTAAAAAAAGCAAATATGTACAGATATATATATATATTTATATATATATATATATATATATATATATATATATATATATATATATATATATATATATATATATATATATATATATATATATATATATATATATATATATATATATATATATATATATATATATATATATATATATATATATATATGAAAGAATAATTGTTATGAAGCATGGTGGGGCTGGATGTTGCATACAGTAATATAGAGAGATAGGGATTGGTAGGGAAGATCAAACTTACAATTTCTGTTACTGTCTATAATTTGCTACTGTAATAATAAATGGCCCAAACAACTAACACAAGTGGAACATCAAATATCAGGTATATTGGATAATACATAAATACATTATCATTTATTATGCAATTAAAAAAATATAATTCATTTGATCATAGATATATATGTATTTTTGTTTTGGAGAATCCTGTAAAATTATAAAATTTCTTTTCGAGGGTACGAACCTGTATGGCAGGCAAACACGAACCGAATCAGTGTTTCCATCTCTTACACAAACGTACGAAGCACGAACTGAAGGCAAGCACGAACCGAAAATCGTGTATCTATGCGGCTGAGAACAATCAACTATACGATTTATAAAAGTTGGGCCCTCAATTGCAACAACAATACCACGAAAAATCAAATTAAAATCGCAGACACATTTTTTTCTTTCTTAGAACATATATCAAACAGTTTGCAAGCATCATCTATATGCTGCTAAATACCGCCGAATTAAGCATCAAAATTCAACATCTGACGTCTTGGGGTAACCATTGTACTCCAATTTCATGTTCAAACTAGCGCAAATAGCCCTAAATTTAAGCCTTAACGCATCAATCATATCGGAACCCGATTCTTTTTCGGGTTCGAGAATCGGGTAGCTGTGAAGCAATTCGTCCATCTGCTTGATTGTTTTCTGGATTCTGACAGAGATGAAATTTGGGTCAACCCGAGCCGCGGAATTCCAAACATCGACACAGCCTCTGTAAAACCCCAATTCCTCACCAATTTCGAATCCGGTTTTCAAGCCCACTTGCCGGCCCTCTTCCTTCCCCGAGATTAAACCATCGGCGTGACCCTCATCATAACCATCTTTGAAATGGGTTTCTTCTAACTTTAACGAGGATTCAAATATGTCTTCAATGCAATCCATGGCAAAAGATATCAGAGACGAATCGAATTCTGCATTACCTTCAACGAAAGCGCTTTTAGTTAACTGTGTCTGTATCACTTGTATCACGAGTCAGGATTCTGAACTAGAATTATTATTACAATTTTAATTTTTTTCTGTAAAAGAATTTATTAAAAATGAACAAATCAGAAACAGTGAGCAGATAATATATAGATATAGCACTAATACAAAACTAGTTCCACTAACTGAATTCACAGCCCACATTACATAGTATGAATGAGATTTACTGCCAACATAATAAAGAAGCTCAATATATGCCACAAGAATACATCCAATTAATTAGTATTTAATTTTTTTTCTGAAAGTGCATTAATTGGCATACAAACGAAAAAAATTGCATTAGTTGTATATTTAAAAAAAAAAAAAAAAGTAAAAATACATAAAATTGGCATACCTAACGAAAAAAGAAATTTGCAGTTTTATGAATCAAATAATAGAAACTTGGGTAGAATTTAATGGAACAAATATGCAATTGGAAATCATCTCCTAATTCACTTCATGGTTGAAAATTGGAATCATACGCATTGAATTGCAATAGAATAGTAAATAATTAATCACATCACATCAGCATAAATCATGAATAAACAGAGCTCACAAAACACCATTGAAAGAGATAGCGAGAGTGACCAGTTGTTTTGATGGCGGTGTATCGGTGGTGTTGACGACGGCGGAGGAGAAGTGGCGATGGGAATTGGGGAATTAGCTTTTAAATATTAAAAAGAAATATTGTCAGATAATAAATATATAAATAAATAAAAGAAATTTGAAAAACCAACTGCTTTAAATAAAGCCCGCAAATAGAGCGCGGGCCCAATGAGGCAATGTGGCCGCTCCAATGTTGGGCCTTGGCCCATGTTTTTATACAATTTATTTTCCTTTTTTTTCTTTTTCTTTTTTTTTTTTATAATTCAATTATAAGAGGTGAACAAATTAACTATGTTTAGTGTTGTATTAATTTCTGCAATTAATGTTGTTAGTCTTAATTGCATATAAATACTGTTTGTTTAATAATTATGCAGCTACTTTCATTGTGCTAGACTAGACTTCTTAGTGCGTCCAACTATTGATAATATCACGCACTTATTCAACTTGGGCTAAGACCAATAAATTATAAAACATATTGTTAACAAGAGCTTGTGATTTTAATTTAAATACTAGTTATAGGCAACAAAACTTGCAATTTCACATTATATTATCGGGACTATTAGTGAGAACCCTCTCTAACATTATTTTAATAAGGATGGATCTAGCTCCTTTTCCTTTATTAGTGAGAGACCCATCATTTTTTTATTCTCAAATTTACCCTCCAACTATTCTCTACCAATTATCCGCTAGTTTGATATATTTTTTTTATAATTTTATTTTAATTTTAATTTTCGATTTTTTTATTTATTTCTTCTTTAAAAAATAATAATAAAAATTAAATTTTCTTTTTTATTTTTTTAATATTTTTATTTAAATATTCTTTTACTATATATATTTTTTTTCGTTTTTCAGTTAACCAACTATATTTCAATAAAACAACTATTATTAAAAACAACTGTTATTAAAACAATTGGTATTAAAACAACTATACATCCCAACAACTATTTGTTAAAGTAACTATTTATTCAAAACAACTAAAAACTAATGAAAAACAACAATATTGTTTTGCGAAAACAACTATATTACAATACAAAAACAACTATATTGAATCAACTAGAAATAATTAAAACAACTATACGAAAACAACTATATTGAATCAACTATGATTTACATTCCTCCATCAATCCTTGTCGGGCCAAGGGATGGGGGCCCTGGGGGCGAGGGATTTCGCCTTTTGGTGCAACTATACCCCCCCACAACTATTCGTCAAATAGAGATTAGTGAGATCACGTGTAACGATAGCTGGGTGGACACACTATACGTCCGACGAAAACGACTATTATCGATACCAAGTACAACCGTAACGAAAACAACTATATCTTCTTGACTAACATGAACACAATTTTCAACAAACTAACATACATTCTACAATTAATTGAACGATAATCAGCCTCCCAAACAATACCAAACATAACGGACGAAGCAGATCCGCTTATGTTAACGGCATTCGAGGTTACGGTTGAGCGTCGTCGGTTGCGATTCTCACATGAAAATGCAGCCCAAGTTTTCGTCATCCTCCTCGAGTTTGATCGATTCCATTACAACGGTGGTGGAGTGGTCTTCCGACGAGGATTGCAAGAATGCTTCAAAAAATTGAAGAAAAAAATAAATACCAGATCTGTTCATCCCTCAGAAGGGAAAGGGGAGGGACCGAAAAAGGCATCTGACCCGTCCTCGTTTTAGCGGCGGCGCCTTGTCGTTGTCGAGATATGGTGCCGCCTTTGTCCTCTCCTTCGCCCTCGCTTCCGCCGCGCCATCGGAATCCAATTCGAGAAAGAAGAGAAGGGGTTGGGATCTTCCTCGTCGTTGTTGAGATGTGATGCCGCCTTCGTCACCTTCACCGCCGCCGCTGATACTACCGATCGATTCCAGAAAAGAAGAGAAAAGATGAGGGGAGAGAAAAGATGAGGGGATTAGAGAACGGCGGTTTGTGATAAACGATGTGGCTAGGGTTTGTAAATATAAGATTTGGTAATTAGGGATAATATAGGTATAATATTTAATAATTGTAATAATATTAATTTAATTAAATAATTAAGGGGGTTCTCACTAATATTGTAAAAGGGTATAGATCCACCTTAATATAACCTAATTAATTGGGGGGTTTTCACTAATAATCCCTATATTATCTTATGCACATTACTTCCATAATAGCTAACTGTCCACTTTGTGGTTATGGAGATGCTACATCGAGTCATATATAATGCGTAACTTTTAAGTATTGATACAGTTAAATAACCATTTGCTAAGCACACATAACATGTATTTGTAAATATGCGCAGATCAGCAGTTAATAATCACTTGATATATTTCATAGTGTAGCATTAAACAAACCCCAATTTGGGTAAATGCACAAGAAAATGGTGGGAGAATATTAAGGAGGAATTTTTTTTTTGTTCTTTTAAACTAGTTAGATTAATGGGTTTTTCTGGATCTACCTACCTAATCCATGATATATATATATATCCCAATAAAATTGCTGAATCTAGATTCCCCAATTTATGATTAAAAAGAATTCCACTATTTTCAAGATCTGAGTTGTAAAATTGTGTAGAAACATGACAAACCCCATAAAACCATTATGGCCATAGTCATGGCTCAGCACTTTGACTTTCCTCAATTTATTAATTAAATTAAAACCTCATGGTATGAATTAAATAAAAACCTAACACTTTAAAAACTTCTCCCTCTCCTCTTTTCCTCTCCGCTCCCCACCAGAAACCCCCCACCA